TGTAGATGTCAATAATACCTATTTTAATAAACAAAACGCAATAATTGCAGTTCCGCAATTATTTTTTCCGAGGTCTGGATGCCTCCATATCGTGAAGTAATTTCTGCTGTTGTCACTTGGAACGTAATCGGTAAATCTGAGATTGTTGTGAACACCAAATCTGCTTTTTTACTGACCAGCAACTCACAACAAGATCCACACGCGTAAATACCAGATTTGTTCAGGTTGTGAGCATTCACCGATTCTTGACAAGCCGAAATTTGGTCTCTTCCAGGGGGAGCATCAAATACCTGAAGCAATCGATCCTGCGCACAATGACCATCACTGCTACATTCCCTCCGCAGATGTTCGTCATTGTTGACAAACGTATCGGGGTGTGCACTACAGCAGTAATAGTACATCAACGCAAGTCTTGGATCTTTTGTGAGCGCTTGGTTTTCTCGAAGCATTGAAGCTCATCAGAACTGAGGTGATTCACGTGAAGAACAGAATCGGCAAGCCTCTCCAGTCTACAGTCTTTTACCAGCTTTTCCTCTTTCACTCTGCGACCACGTTTGACAGTACGAAGTTCTGTTGGAGGTGGCCGTTTGTTGTTGTCGTAATTTTGGTGATGCTTCGCTGCCTTCGAGAGTTGACGCCGTCGCTCCAACCGCGAGCGGTAACTACCTTTGCCCGTCATTCTCGGTTATTTGACTGATGACAAAAAAATCACGCCCAATTGCACACAATACCATATGGGACAGTGTATCGATTGCCATACATAAATCTCATCAAACCGTTAGAGAGGTTTATTGAACTTGAAGACAATCCGTAAAATATCACGTGAATTGTGTAGGTAAGAACATATCACGTAATTTGTAGTTATTGGCAGTGAGCTGACAATGTAGTAATAAATTAAATGGTCTGTTCGTGAAATCTGGATTAACACAATTTGCCCTGTCATAAAATTACGAAAATTGCAGTGAGAAGTCCGTTATACCAACGATTTCAGTCTCAACTTCAGGCATGCAGCTTGTGGAATCTGGGATGATACTCGAGGTCGCGGCATTGGACATGACGAATTAATATGCACATTGTGAAGAAAGAAACCCGTGTCTCAACATTGGGGAAAGTCAAGATAACTTCGCTGCCTCACAATCTCATTTCAAACCAAGCCAATCTGATGCAAGACTACAGCTTTGACGTACATAACTGATAACATCTTATTTATTTGTTTTAAATTGATTGCAGAGAGGCTCACAGGATGTCAAGTCCTAAAATTAGTTTGCGGGTCTACGAAGAACTCAATAGAAGTAGGAAATACTTGTAAACTGCACTGGTAAGCAAGCGTCTGCACCCGCAGCAAGAAACGTAGAGCACTCGAAGTTGGTGGGAAAGGCAGCTTG